AGTTCATAATCCAAATAAAGGATTGTGAGAGTATGATGTACTATATTTTCCAGCATATAAGTCTACTTTTAGCATAATATGACTCTACACCCCGACCGACCTCTGACTGAAATATCGTTTTCACTATTAGTTTCACTATGCTTTATACTTACTACTTCTTTAAAGGTATGTTTAAAGTTAACTACAGTAAATCATATCGTACTCGTAGTACTCTCACATGAATGGTATAGTTTTACTTGTGGATGATGCATTGTGTCATATTGAATCCACCTAAGGTCAGAATGAACAGGCATAGAGGGTCATTTCATTGAATGAAATTGAGTACAAAATCAGTATTATCCAAATTCTATATTTTTCACATAGTTTTTTTAAAGGTATGTATTAAAAAAATTGGTTGTTTAACTTCAGTATTATCCAAATGTTATATTTTTCACACAGTTTTTAAAATTATGTATAAATATATATTACATCGTATGATATAAAATTTCTTGTTTCTTTTTTTAAATTTTTTTTAGAATAATATAACATTGGTTTTGACATTTAGAGGGTTGAAGTGTTGAAAAACAATATACTTGGAAAGAGAATAGAATTGATTATTTATATTATTATTTATACTATCTATTATGAATGTTTAATTAAATATGTTGATATTGATAAATAACCAATAAACTTGATTTAAGAATATCGTGAAGTTCTATCGGGTGCCGATCTCTTTAAAAAATTTTTTTGCAAATGCCATCGCAGTCAGACGTCAGAGACCCCTATTCTGAAATAAAACCAGTGCTGACACAAAACGTTGCCAGTCTGTTCAAAGATTTGAAAAGACATTTAGCATTGTTATCATCCCAAAACTATATTCAAGATTTACTTCCTGTTATGCGATACAATATATATATATATATATAGCTTGATAAAGACTTATAGTCGAAAGTACTCGCTAACTCTGAAAATAAATTTTGTGGCATATATCTGATACCATCTGACTCGTTATTTACTGTATGTATATTTGCCTAT